TACAATTAGGTAGGCCTAAGTATTTATTGTGTCTGCCCATAGTCTAGATTTCTGCTGATGTCCTAGACATCAGATGCCATCAAAGAAAAGGAGGAAATGGAGGAGCCCAAACATGTAAATCAAACTCATGCTAAGTTGGTGCTTGGCAATGTGAGGTCAGGTGACTCTTGTGCAATAAGTTGCTGTAGGGAAAAGGCAATTTTCTCTAACTGCAGAGAACAAGTAGTTTACTTTATTTTAAAAGAAAATCAATAGTATTGGCTTGGCCCTTGTGAGAAATCATTCTCCTGATGGCAAGTCGATACAGATGTGACTTAAAAAGTAAAGAAAACCATGGCCAGAGAATATTCGTTTTAACATCTGATTATTGGTAGAAACAAAAGCATTGTTTATTAAATTTTGTTTAGAACTCATTTAATTTTTGTAATAAAACAGGGCTATCAACCTGAAACATGTAACAATTGGGGATCTCTTTGGCTGTAAATTAGTTTATAGAACTCTTCCATTTTGAGGACTATTAGGAAAGTTCTTCAAATATTGAAGTTCAATTGAAGGTAGTTAGAATTGTTTAAGTGCTTCATTTAATACCATAAACACAAACGCCTTTACCTAAATATGGTTTGTTTTTGATTACAGTACTTTAACACTCCATGTTTCTAAAATGTAAACAGTAAGAAGCTTATCCAAATTTTTTATAATTATACTTAATGTGATTATATTGTTTTTTTAATCTAAATTTATATACCCATACTTTGTGTTTAACTTTCATATTTATGATTAAGTTATTAATTTTTGTAATATTTAAAAGATATGAACAGCAGAGGAGTAGAGAAAGATTAAGTAAGGAAACTATCACTTTCTGTTTAGATAAACTATGTACTCCATTCTGCGATATTTTCTCTATATGATGCCAGTGGGCAAGAATTTTTCTTAATTGTAAACAATCATGTTATGTGTTAAAGGAAGACATTACAGTTTTTTACATCAAGGATACTGTGGGAAATAGCTATCATGACATGCTACTGTTGACAAAATTGTTTTCAAGTTAGCCTAGATGGAAGTTTCACTTTAATTGCATATTGTAGCAGTTGAAAGAATATGCCTGTGACCAAAATAGTAACATAAATTTGGAGGGACATGCTTGAGCAGTATTCTCAATGCTCCTGTGGGAACAAGGCTGCTCTGTGCTATTGAAAACCTATTTCTCATATAACCCAGTCTGGCCATCTAGCAGAGTTTTGAAATGTCACATGGTGACACAGCATCCTAATGGTATCTCTTGGGAAGCATAGATATATATTTTTTTTTTTAGCAAGACAATATCAAGGGTCCTTAAAAATTGAAACAACACAAAGGAAAAAAAAAAAGGAGGACAGGAAGCTAATCCACCTCTTCGAGCAGCCATGCCATCTCTCAGATATATTGATTTAATTAGTCCACAACAATGTCTTTCTTTGATGTTTGCTCTATAATAGAGTTCCCACACTATTAGGCTGCTTCAGTATAAAACTTGGTTTATGATTTCCTTTACACATAGGTCAAGAAAAATGCATTACAAAGCAGATTTTCTCCTTAAACAAAATTAAGTGTTATATATTATCTTTATTAAAAAAATCTGATTTTTAAAACAGCACAAACATAAAGTCTCATTCTAGTTTCTTTCCATCAATACTCCCTTTGTGTGTATAGTATTTTATTTGTGCCTCTCTTACTGTGGCAGGATGGATGCTTTATTGTTAAAAGATATCTGCTAAGGATTGTCCTTTATTCTTACATTCATTGGTCATCTCTTGTGCTAATTTCGGTTCCCACCAACATCATAAAAGTTTTGCATCTTGTACTAGGATGATAAAGATGGTGCCTCAACCTTTTGTAAAATTTACAGTATTATTCTAGACTTAGAAAGTATTGCCACTATGTGACTTCATTCCATTTTTTCAAGGATAAACAAAATTGAATTTTGATTATATTACTGTTACCAAGTATGACTAACAACTTTACCTTTTTCTTTTTTCTCTTTCCTGGAGTACTTAACAATAATTTATTGATTTTGGTGATCTGTGTGTTTTGTTAAATCCATGTGTTTTTGCTTATTTGTTTTCAGAAAATGTATTGTTCAGTTTTCACAGAAGTGAAAAGAATGTTATTGTGAACCTTAATATACCAGTCATCCTGATCCATTAGTTATATGTTAGCTATTTCTTTTTTCTTTTACTGAAGTGCTTCAAAGCAAAACCCAGACATATCATTTCATCCCTACATTTTTTTTCTATATAATCATCGTTCCATAATCATATTTAACAAAATGAATAATTATTCCTTGATGACACAATAACCACTCCATATACAGAGTTTGCTAATTGTGTCAAAAGCGTCTTTTACTGTTGGTTTGTTTGAATCAATTGCCATACATTTGGTTATCTGAAGTAATTTGTTCTTTATCAGTTAGATTTTAAAACCTTGTTTACCCATGCCTGGTAAGGGTAGAATCTTATTTAGAAAACAAACAAGCAAACCAACAAACACACATTTTCTGCCTCATTAAAAGAAAAAGTTAAATGTGCTACAAGAGCAATTATTAATTAAATATATAACAGAGCACCTGACAAAAATTTTCCGCTTTGAATTGGAAACATTCCTCTGAAACATTGGTACTCTAATACTGTATATTAGTTCTTAGAAAAGGCTTCATTTTTGGTAAGATTTAATGAGGTTGTCAGATTTAACTTGTATAAAATAGATCATTTTAAAAAATGTTTTTACTACCAATTTGGAGTCACACAGGTTTATTTTGCTGTAAGGTGGCACCAAACTATAAAAATGTCATAGTTGAGCATACTGATTTCTAAACTGTATTCTTCCTGTCACCTTGCCTGGACCCTGACAAAAATTGGCACCTGCCTGGGTTTCTGTGTCTGTCTATTACTTATTATGGGAATGACCCCATCCAGTTAGTTGCCCTTCTTGGCTGGGCTCTGAGACCTGCTGTCTGGAGACCTGATGTCAGTAGAAACACCAGAGATGACACAGTCTGTGAAGCTCCCCCACTTCATGAGTCTACCTGGACACATTTTTGAGCCAAGTCTGATCTGAGTTACGGAGCTTATATTATACTTTTGTTTCCTCAGCAGAAACTTTTAGAAGATCTGTTCAAATCTTGTAGCTAGCCTAGAGAAAAAATGGGATAAGTGTTTATGCTGTCAAAGGTTTCTTCTGGGTATGAAGACATCCATCTCAAGATTCTTTTGTATGGGGAAGAGCCCTAGGGCACTTACGGAGTTTTACAACTAGCCTGTGTATAAGGTTGAGCGAAAGGATGAATCAAAGAGAAATGCCCCAATATTGTGCAATTGCTTTTGACTTGTTTTGAAATACATTTTTATCAAGATCCTGTCTTCACACATACACACACCCTTCAAGCAAAAGTTTCTTGAAGTAATACCCTATTTTTGAAGCACTATGATATTTTCCATTCTAATTTATTAAAAAAAAAAAAAAATGCAGTCTATAATTCACTAAATTGGTTCCATGACCCACTAAGGGCTTGTGACCTATAGGTTGGGGAACACTTGGCACACGTTTTAGAATGTAAGGAACCTGGATTCAAATATCAACTCTCTCAGTTACTATCAGTATGTCCCAGGAACTCACTGTGCTTCTTATGCAACATTTTAGGAAGTAGCTATTTATGTCAAGTGAAACAAAATTGTACTAATCAGTTAAGACTTACTCCTTAGATTAATACGTATGCTTTCTTACAAAGAAAATTACTGTTCTCCCTCCCTTAGACCAAATAATACTCTATTCCCAAGAGGGATTACCTCAAGTGGCCAGAGTTGCAGAGCTAGTCCTTCTCTCTTGCCCACCCTTACATGACTTCTGCCATGTTGCAGTATATCTGTTTCTAAGAAACACTTTATGGTTTTTAACAGAGATCATTACTCTGGATATGAAAGGACATTCTTTTGTTTGTATAATTATTAGGTCACTGCTAGCTATTTAAGTCTGTATCCCAAATAATGAAATAATATTTTTAAATGTTTTTAAGTTTAAGAATGTTTCAGGAATTTGTCCCAGAACACTATCCATTTTTCCAGTTATAGTGCATATCTCAAATTGAAAAACAGAATTATATTAACAGGTTAAATATTTTTACCTTCTGAATTATGGGTAGTTATGAGTTAGATTTTTTATGTAAGTTAAACTGCATTAGGAATCAAAATAATATGAGTTCAAGTTCTTATTCTTCTGTTTTCTAGACACATGGGTGAGGGCAGGTCATCTACCCTCTCTGCCTTTATTGCCCGCCATTTGCCTACTCTAAATTATCAGGATACTTGGAAGTGCTTTTTGCAAATGTAAGGTGCTTATTGTTCAAATAAATTTGGCAATATTTGGGTCATCAATAAGTGACTAGGTTTGGAAAAGTCAGTCTTGTGTGCCAATCTGTCTTTAGATTTGAAAAAAAAACATATCTATGCATGTGAATTATGAGTAGAAACTAAATGTATTCCCAGTATTTAGTAGAGGGCAGAATAAAATGTAAAGTTCAATGTATACTCTGGAGATGATGTTAAAATTATATATTCCTTTTAAGAAAAACTGAATGACATTTAAATGACATTTTTCTGTTCTACAGAAACCAAAGGCAAATACCAAAGTAATTTGTAAGCGTTGCAAGATAATGTTGGGAGAGATCATGTCATCAGGTAAGAATATAACAAAAACCCAAAATGCCTACCTTCTTACTAAAAAAACAAACAAACAAAAGATGATAGAACATGATTTTATAGTAAATATAATGGAAAGATGATTAATATATGTTATACAGTAGATGCTTTTCAAAATAAGGACCAACTAACTGATATCATCCAATATGCTAAGAAACTTTTATATTTTGGCCTTACTAAGTGCATGGAATTGAGTTTTAAGCATTAAGTAGTTGAATCATTTTCAGTTTTTCATATATTTTTGTAGGTATAAGTAATAAAGTTTGTACTTGGGTTTATCTTAAAAAAGACTGGAGCCTTTTTCTTAACACAACTTCTCAATCAGAAGAGTTGGTACCCAGAGACTTACAAGTTACTGTTCCTGGCTGCCATCTGTTTCATATAGTATTTTGGGGCATGGATGGGGGCTGGGGGTTGGAGAAGTTCTGTTGAAAGGCAAGAAACACATTCTGAGTTGCACTTTGTTACTTGTTTCTTTTTCTCAGTCGTGTTAATTATGTTTTATATAACATCTGTTATACTGCTTTAAAATACAATAATGAAAGTCCTGATAATTAAAATGATTCACTATTTAAAGATATGCTTTAAAAATGTCTAGAGAGCTGCTACATGCTGTGCTAGCTTTGTGGGTGATGAATAATTGCTTTTAATATTATTAATTAGAAAATATGAGTTTAAGTGAAGCTATTAGGTAGAAGACAGACTGATATTTGTCTTTTTTTGTTTTTTAAATCATCAAAATCTTATATGTACTTGCTTAGATTGAGCAGAAAAATGAAGAATGAGCAGTAAACGATGCTTCCCTCAATGTCATTTTTGGAGAATAAAAGTAAACCTTTTAATTAACAACTTAGAAAATTTTAAGGCTTCTAGGTAGTGTAGTGCCTAAGGCATTTGACTGCTAACCAGAAGCCTGACGGTTCAAACCCACCAGATACTCCTTGGAAGGAAGACCGGGCAATCTACTTTGGTGGAGATACTGCCTTGGAAACCCAAGGAGGGGTTGCTATGGGTCAGATCTGACTCAATGGCAGTGAGTTTTTTGTTTTAGTTAAATAAGGTGAGTTTATTTTTCCAATTATTTTCTCACCCAATTAAAATGGCAGGTAAGAAATAAAAAAGATGTACATCCACAAAGAGAAATAAAAATGATAATATCACAGAGATGTAAATAAATTTTTGGAAGCTATAAAGCTGAGAGAGGCATGGTAACATATATGGCAGTGTGGAGGATATGGCAGTCTAGGTATCTGCAGAATATCATTTGGGTGAGGAGCAAGGCAGTATTCAGAGGAGAGCTCCATGTTGTTGTTATGTGCTGTCAAGTCGGAAACGACTCATTGTGACCCCTCCTTCCAACCTTCTGTCCAAGGAGTGGGGTTTCAACCACCAGCCTTCTGGTTAACAGTCAAGGCCTTAGGCACTATGCTACCAGAGAGCTCCATAGAAGTTCTCAATTTTGAGACACCAAGTAACAGGGAAGGCAGTCTGAGGTAAGGAGCTGGAAACAGAATGATTACTTCAAACTACATATGGAGATATTAGACTGTTAGATATCCTGTTTCATTTGTAACTTGCACATACACTCTAGGTAGAAGACTGGAGGCCCCTTCTTAAAATAATTGAAGAGAACTGTCTTAGCCTGAGTTGTCTAGAGGAGGAACACGAGTGAAACATATATAAAGAGATTTATTTCAAGGAAATGACTCATGCATTTGTGGAGGCTGTCAAGTCCCAAATCTATGAGGCAGGCATCAGGCTGGACGGTTTTTCTGACTCAGATGGTTGCACAGGGTTTTGAACGCAAAATCAGCAGGTCAGGTGGAAGGCTACTGGCTCAGAGTTGCAGGAGCTGGCAATTCCCAAAATTTGCAGGACAGGGGTTAGGCTCCTGGTTCATATCTCAAGAACTGGAGATCAGAGGATGACAAGTAAGATACAGAATAGAAAGCAAGTGAGATTTGCTAGAACATCTGTGTATATTGGATGCAGGCCATGCCCCCAAAGAAACTCCCCTTATATGAGATCACAAAATAGAATATAATTATGTAATACTGAGACTCATGGCTTAAGCCACATAGACACATAACATTAACAGTCACAGTCCATCCCTTGGCAACTTGGCACCTATAGACATCTTAAACCAAGCATAATCTCTAAATAAAGACAATTAAAAAAAGTCATACCTAACTGAAAACACACTAGCCTCTTTTACATCTTATATTTTATAGTAAGTAATGGGACCATTCCCTGGAGAAGGATATCATGCTTAGTGAAGTGGAGGGTCAACAAAAAAGAGTGAGGCCCTCAACGAGATGGATTGACACAGTGGCTGCAACAGTGGGTTCAGGTACAGCAAGAATTATGAGGCTGGCATAGGACCGAGCAGTGTTTTGTTCTGGTGTATATAGGGTCACTATGATTTTGGAGCTGACTCAACAACACCTAACAACAATAAGAACAACAAATGGGATAAGGAAGGGAAGAAAACAAAAATACTATATATTCCTGCACTACATACATGTATAATGAAATAAGTAAGAAATGCTCATAATAATTATCACCCTCATTTCTACAATTGGTCATGTGGTCATAGCTGATGTTTGGAACTACCATCATCTGTCACCCATTCCATATTCCCTTTTCCCTCAGCAAGCTCCTCAGCTGGTTGTGGTTCTTTGCCTGGAAGTGACCCAAACCTTCATTGCTAAAGGATCTGGGCCATTAGTAATGTCAGAATTGGGTTGCTATAGTTTTCCATAGACTTTAGTCATAAGGAATGGTAGTACTAAGAGATGCTGTGAGGGATCTCCTATATTTCAGACATACTCTTCTTTACCTCCATTATGTAATATCAATCCCATTTCCCCTTGGTAATCAAGATCCTCACAACCAGCCAATATAGTAAAACTCCCTTCTTTCCCTTCTGATCCAGAGGTATTAGAAGCCAAAGTGGCCAGGTGGCATTCTTAATTTCCAGTTCAATGGAATCAGTGTTGTCTCCTCAGGTGAGAGTATTCCTCCTTTTGGAATTAAAATGTCCAGATACACAAAGCATAGGGACATGAGATAGGAAGCAGAAATTTTGTGAGTGGGTCACTTGGGATAATAATGAGTAAGTACCACTCCTATTTCTATCCTTTGATTCCTGGACCTGTGGATCATGGCTATCGGAGAAAGAGTACCATATATTGGATGCTGGTTTAGAGCATATCCAGCCTCCTGGAGAACATTGCCCCAGTCCCTCAAACTATTACCAACTAGCTGGCACCATAATTATGTCTTTAGAAAGCCATTCCATTGTTATATTAAACCAGTTGCTTCACGATATTGGGGAACATGGTAAGACCACTGACACACTTCATCTGAAGTGAATCCCTTGATCTAAGGCATTGTGATGTGGAATACCAAGATAGTGGATAAGGTATTTTTTTAAGCCCATGGATGGTGGTCTTGGCAGAAGCATTGCATTCAAGGAGGCAAATCCATATCTATATCCAGAGTAAGTGTCTGTCCCAGTAAGAACAAAATGCTGCCCTTTCCATGAAAGCAGTCCAGTGTAATCAACTTGCTTGGGTTGCTGGCTGATCACCCCAAGGAATGGTTCCATATCTCAGACTCAGTGTTCTCTGTTGCTGGCTGATTGGAAACTCAGCAGTGGATATAGCCAAGTCGGCCTTGGTGAATAGAAGTCCATGTTGCTGAGACCATGCATAATCTCCAACACTGCCAACATGGCCACTTTGTTCATGAGCCCATTTGGCAATAACAGGAGTGGCTGGGGAAAGAGGATGATTGGTTTCCAAAAAATGTATCATTCTATCCACTTGACTGTTAAAATGTTGCTCTGCTGAAGTCAGCCTTTGGTGAGCACTCACATGAGGCAGAAACATTTCACTTCTTTGGCCCATTCAGTGAGGTCTATCCACGTATTCCTTGTCACCAATTTTTCATTTATGTTCCTTCAAAGTCATTGACTAACCAGCCAAGTCAATGGCCATCGTCCATGGACAGTCACACTTCTGGCCATTTCTCCTTCTAAGCAAAATGAACAATCAGATACATGACTTGAAGTTCTGCCCATTGGGAGGATTTCCCTTTACCACTCTCTATAGGGAGGTCCTAAGAAGGGGCCGCAGAGATGTTATTGTCCACTCTCAAGGAGATCCTGCATATTGCACAGAACTATCTGTAAAACAGGCACAAGTTTTTGTTCCCTCTGTCAGCTGATTATAAGAAACTCCCCATGAAGCCATAGGTGCAGACTGGGAGAGGGAAGGTAATGTGACAAGAGTGGAGATGATGGACATTTGGGCTCTTTCCCATGTAACTTACTTGTGCCTTCAGTTCCTGCTCAAGCCCAATCTCACATATACCTCTTCCATTTAATAATGGAGCACTGCTGTGCACATCCAATTTTATGACTATGGATCAAACAAGTCACTGCATGGTGACCTCATGCCTCATGGTTAAGTATTCAGTTTCTACTAAGGCCTGGTGATGAGCCAAAAGCTGTTTCTCAAAAGGAAAGTATTTATCTGCAGAGGATAGCAAGTCTTTGCTCCAAAATCCTATGGTCGGTGGTATGATTCACCAATAGGGGCCTGTCAAAGACTCCAAACAGCATTTCTATCTGCCACTGGTATATCAGGAATGTGGTACTGCTTGCTGTTACATCAGCTGGATCATATGGTCCATGTGGCAGCACAGCTTGCACAGCAGCCTGAACATATTGTAGAGTCTTCTGTTGTTTTGGGCCCCACTCAAAAGTAGCATCTTTTCAAACCACTTGAAAATAGGCTAGAGTAGCACACCCAAATGAGGCATATGTTGCCTCAAAAATCCAAAAAAGCCCACCAGGCATCATGCCTCTTTTTTATTTGTATGAGAGGCTAGATGCAACAACTTATATTTCACTTTGAAAGAAATATCTCAACAAACTCACACCACTGGACCTCTAGAAATTTCACTGAAGTGGAAAACACCTGAATTTTGTCTGGCTAATTTCCTTCCTTCTAGCACGCAAATGTCTTATCAATAAGTCTAGAGTCATTAATACTTCTTCCTTACTAGGTTTAGTCAATTTAATGACATCAATCTAATGGACCAGTGTGGTGTCTTGTGGAAGGGAAAGGTGATCTAGGTCCTTGCAGAATAAATTATGATATGTTGTTGTTGTTATGTGCCATCAAGTCGGACCTGATTCATAGCGACCCCTCTTTGGATTTCTGAGGCAGTATCACTACGGAAGTAGATTGCCCCATCTTCCTTCCGAGGAGTGGCTGGTGGGTTTGAACTGCCAGCCCTCTGGTTAGCAGTCAAGTGCCTTAGGC